TAATTATTATGATGTTAATCTAAAAATTCACACTAGATGACTAGACATAAATTTACTTATCATAAAGTACTGAATTTTCTATTAATAATATATCATTATCACTATCTTTGTGATAATCATACAATTTTATATATAAAACACAATTACCTATAACGTGTTCCCAATATGTCTTTGTCCTACTTTTTTTAGAAGTGTCATGTCCGTCCTTCTTAGATTATATTATATTAGATAAAAGGCCAACGTGGGCTCTGCCCATTAATAGTCCCTATCACATGACTCTCGGGAAATAGATAACAACGAAAAGATAAAAAAAAAAAATTATGGATTGGAACAAAACCAATTCTCTTAATCTCTAGTTCCAATCTTTTTGATCACGTAAACCTCATATATCTGATGTTTAATTTTCTGCCTTTCATCACCTATATCTTTGAGATCTTGTCAAAGTACTAGAGTCATCCTTAACCTTTAGACGTACACCATTTTCATGCCACTGAGAAAAATAACCTTATGGATTTTAAAGTTTCTTGTCAATATTTATAATAGTTTTTCACTTCTCTTCTCCATAAAGATTTATTGTTTTCATTTTGACAGTATCCCATGAATTTCATTCCTAGCAATTAAATTTCAAGTCTAGAATGCTCTTAATATCTTAATCCTATGTGAAGGATCAAAATTTTGTTTATTTTTCACCAAAATGACCGAAATGGTTCTGTTTCCATGGAAACTGAAACGAAATTAATGAATAAATATTCATAGAAACAAAACCAGAATCAATGATTGTATATCGAAATTTCAATATTTCGAGGTGTTTCTACATGTTTTAATTAATGCTTTGGAATATTTTGGAAACAAATTCTCATATTTTTCCTTTTTTTTGGGTTTTCGAAATGTTTCCAAAACATTTACTTAAAATATTATTTCTACACTAACTAAAACTGTGTACCAAAACAAAATTTTGAACTTTCTCCTTTCTCTTTGGACCTATGGCCTTCCTACATCACCCTAGCTATGTCCTTCCAAATTTTGTAATATATAAAGTCATAGACTCAAATAAAAACCTCAAGTACCCATTTATAAAATCAATGATGAACGAAAAACATGATGTGTCAATCACAAAGTACCCAATCGTCGAACACATGACTACCTATATGAAAGTCCTTGTGCTCCCTCCTTCCCGACTCAGCATATCTCTCTAGCCCACCCCTTTTTTTCTCATTCTCCTCTTCCTCTTTATGTTCTCCCTCTTCTTTCCACCTTCCTATATATGATTTCTTACATCAAGCTAGTGATCAATGACACAAAACCTAGTGACCAAGGTCAAATGTCAAACCTCAGTGACATAGTCCATCTTCACAGTGCCACGAGCTAAGAAGCACGGATACAGATACAGATATCGTATCCGATACGACATCCTATGAACGGGGAGATACAACAAACTTAAAAAATATAGGACACGATTACACCAAGAATACAACTATTAAAATAATATAATTTTTTTTTTTAGGAAACAAAAATGTCATTAAAAATATAGAACACAAATACAACAGAAAATCCATGGTGGACCAGTAGTCTAAACCAAAGTCACAACAAAAAAAAAAACATAAGCAAATAAAGCAAAACTACATTCCACATTATGTTGTCTAGTTAAGTATATTACAGTATATATTTTATACTATTATTTAAAATAATATAATATATCTTTTGGATAATAATAAATTTTTAATATCTTAAAATAAAGCATATATTATAACAATATTAATAATAAGACCTAACAAATATTAAATTTTTTTGACAAAAATTAAAATAGAGTAAAATAAATATCCACCATTTTCATTAAAGATCATTACATCTATTAACATTCATAGTATATAAGATACATAATTAAAAAAAAAAATCACACCCCTTTTAATAATTAACAGTAGTTTTCTTTTTGAAAAAAAAAATTTGTGATCGTGTCATGGTTGTATCCTAGGCTCCTAGCTATATCCTAGTTGTAACCTGATCGTGTTCAACTGAGTTCACTACTGAGGACATTTTTAGCCGCCTCGGATATGTGTTCAACCATGTCCAACACATATCCGACACTGCCACGGCACCCTCCAAGAAGTATATGTGCTTCCTAGCCCACAAATGATGACAACATATATGAAATGTCCACGGTCATTTAACCTCCATTTATCAATCCATAAATTTAAACTATTGACACTATTCCCTTTCTCATTTCTCATAAAAGAGATTTTGTCTATCTAATCTCCTTTCCCGCCTATCCCCCGTGTTATCCAATTCATTTCACTTTCTCTTTCTTTCAGATTCCAAACTCCAAAAGTTGGTCTGTTTACAGCATAAATCTCCCTTTCTCAAATGATTAGATTCTCGATGCCGAACGTCCCCACCCAATCTTTCTCAAGACTCTTCTTCCTTTAATCCTTTTAAGCTACACTGGCTATTGATGGTCCAATGAAGACACCCATCATGCTCACTCATATAACAATCACCAAGCTTCAGTCTAGAGCCCAGCACACGTCACTGGGATATACATTATTACAACATTTAAACTTGGACCAACACGCTATTGAAAATAAAATCCAAACCACCTGCTAAGAATGATGAAGTTTCCATTTACATCATTTTTCCTTCTCCTGAAGGAAACGGAACAAATAACTGCAAAAGAACCTGCATTTCATTTCAATTCCACAGGTTGGTGATAATGTTTGAAGGGTATTAGAAACACTTTCCAAATTTAAGGAATACAACAAACAACATCCTTAATTTTATTATTTTTATATGAATTCCAAAAGTGCAGAAAGATTGCATGGAAATTTAGCTTTGCAGTACTGTATTCGATTTGAAACATACTGTATCAGGGCGCATGAACAAAGTGTTCCATGCTCGTGTATTTCCACTAGCTTCAGATGTCTTCTTCTCCTCCTCCCTCTGTTGCTTAAACGTTTTTGCAGATTGGTTGGAGAAATTGGCCCTACACAGTGAATGCAGTCATAAAATAGTCCTCCTTCAGTTACACACACACACACAAAAAAAAAAAGAACATTTATTCATTTTTTATATTTTTGTAGAGCACAAAAGTGATGAAGCTATAACTTCATTCAATGCAAAATTGACTACCTAAAGAGCAAACAAAAAAAATAAATGCCTACTTACTGTTGTTTAGAGGTGGGATTCTTCTGCTTTGCTGGCATAACATGCAATAATCTGCCTTGAAAAATTGAATTGTCCAACTCTTCTAATGCCCTGAATGAGACAACATATGAATTGGTTATTTGAAAAAAGAAAAGTCCAATCAAAAAAACAATTAGCAACAGTATATTAAAGCCAGCAATTAACAAAGATCCAAGCACAAAACTAATGTCTGCTTTTTGATATCTACAAGTCAAACTCATATCTTCTTTTCTCTCTCTTATGATATTTCTCTCTCTCTCTCTCTCTCTCCCCTCTCCTAGTTACTCTCCAGTGCTCTCCCTCCCTCACTAGTTTCTCTCTCTCTAGCTATTTGTCTCTCTCTATGATTCTATCTTCTCCCTTGTTTATTCCCCCAACCACTCTCATTTGTGTTCCTCCAGTAAAATTATCTCCTAACATTTGTTTCTTGTGCACTTTCTCCACCAAATGTGACAACGACAACAAGGAACTGCAGAAAAATGGAGTGGAGACTTTCTTTCCCATATCATCTTTCATCCATCAGGATGATATCTTTCTTTGTTAAAGCTAGAACTCTCCTGATTCGACAACAAATTTCTCAAGGTAAGAATCATAATCTTAATCACATAGCTATATGATGTATTATAAACTATGATTTTATTCTAAGTTTTGTACTATGTTTGGTTGCTAAAATACGCACGTCTTTCATGTCTCGATTTATTTGAAGTTGGAATGGATGTTGTACGAGAAGTTACAATAGGAAAAATAGAAGAAATATACATTCCTCAAGTTTCACATTAGAAAAAACCAAAAGAAGGTCAAGAGTTCAATACATTAGATGACCCATACAATTTTACAACTCATATGCAGAGAAGGCTGGTTTGAGTATGAGCATAGACAAGAGTAAGAAAACTTAGGGAATTGATAACACATATTGGAAACAATATTTTTGTTATAAGGAAGGAGAAACAACTGAGACAGACAAGAAGAAAAAAGATAAGGAAATTTTTTTTAATGGGAATGTGGAAAAAGATTCGAGTAAAGTAGAAAGACTATGAAGAAAAATAAGGGAGGATTCTAGAGCAAAATTAATTGATGTTTAACGTGGGTGAAAATACATCATCAATTAATTGGTTGAGGGTTATAACCACCCCTTTGCAATAAACAGCAAAATACACTTGTTAAGGTCACACCGCAAGGTTTAAGATGCAAAGAAGGTGTTAGTACAACAATTTGTAAGTGTAAATGTTCCCACACATTAACAATTTGCTATTTGAGAGGCACATGCAGGAGGATTTTAAAATGTTGGATGTGCATAAAGAAATATAAGAAACCATGAGTGAAATATGAGGGAGAAAATGAAAGGTTGACTTTCAAATCTGAACAAGAAAAGAATCTAACATTTGTCTTTGGTTTTGCTATAAATGAAAATAAGAGGATGAACCATTGTTTTGGGTTAACCCTGTTGCAATAAGAGCATATAGTTTTTTTAGTGATGTTGTAGTGTTTGATATGACATACAATACAAACCATTATAGTGTGATATTTGTTCAACTTACTGGGGTTAACCACCATAGCCAAACAATTGTTTTTGGATGTGGCTTTTTGATTGACGAGATTATTGAGTCATTCATTTGGCCAAACAATCGTTTCCAACGGGTACGCCGGGAGTTTATAACTTATCAAGACCAACAATGACGAAGGCTATATCTCAAGCTTTTCCATGTACCTTCCATCATTATTGTACTAGGCACATTCTGAAAAAGTTTTCTGAAAAGCTAAACTCAATTGTTTATCAAGATCACTATCATCATTTTAAAGCATGCATATGTAATTCTAAGACCAGGGAATAATTTGTAGAATGTTAGAAGAACGAGTTGCAAAAAAGTAAACACAGGGGCGGCCCAATACTATTCGAGGCTCTAAGCGAAAATTATACATGTGGCCTTTTAAAATTTAATATTAGTATATAAGTAATACAACCAAAATTTTGTTTAAAATTTATTTTTTTTATTTTTTGAGATGTAAAAGTACTAATTAACCTTCCATACTTAAGTTTTGTTATTATATCATTTTTGAATATATGGTATGGCTAATTTACTCAATATTTTTGTGACATAATTCATCACAAATAGGAATAGTTTTAATTTTAAAAACCAAAATTTGCAAGAGCAATTGGTATGTGTACTCTCAATACTATTATATAAGCAATAGATATATTCGGGAAAAAAAAGCCTAATGTAAGGCCCCCTCTAAGGCGAGGCCCTAAGCGGCTAAGCTGGCTTACACTTGGGCAGGCACCGAGTAAACAGGAAGATAATGATTTTCTGAAAAAAATGTCTGAATTACGGGATAAATGGGTTCCTGCATATGTCAGTACTATTTCTTCTGCTAGAATGTCAAGTATTCAAAGAGCATCTCACATTCATTCTTCAAAAGGTATTGTTCGAAAAATAATTCGCTAATGGACTTTGTCTTGCAATTTAATTGGGGTACTTGCACATGTACGACATTAGGAGTACACAGCAGATTATTGTGATACAAATGAAAAACCAAACTTGAGATCGCTCGTGCCGATGGAGAAATAAATGGTGGGTATGTGTACTAAGAAATACTTTCATATTTTTCAAGTTGAGATTTATGAAAGTAATACTTATGTTATAAATTCTACAATGGAAGATGAAATGAATGTGTTCACATTTCTGGCACGTTTTAGCATTTTTTGAGTGAAGCAAATTTTGCTTTTGCCGGACAAGTATATCATGCAAAGATAGAGAAAAAATGTTGGAGTTGCAAGTGTGATAGGTCAAGATGGTGTGGAAATTAAAGATGTGCTAGATAAGTCCTCAATGATGAGGCGCACTAAATTAGCCCAACTTGCTTCAGTTGCGGTTGATGAAACCTCAATGTTGGAGGAGGGGACCAAACTCTTAACAAATACACTTGAAGCAACTATTGAATCAATCAGAGCCATGAAGTCAAGTAGATGTGGACAAAGATTGTTAGCAAAAAGGAAGGACATTCATGAGCAACAAAATTTCAATGATTCACTTCAAGTTGGGGCAAAAGGATGTGGAAAGCATTTGAAATCATCGAAAGAGAAGGCCATGGATAAACTTGGACAATGCCATGGTTGTGGCAAAATTGAGCAGACGCACACCATGGGTAATTCATGTGATTCACAAAATACTAATGATCCTAGTGAATAATCATCTTGGATGTGAACATTTTTGTTATTTTGGGTAAGTGAATCCGTACAAATTTTATTTCTTCAATTCCTTGGTACAAAATTATATATTTTTATTTATCACAACATAATCTTTTAAGTACTTATTTTATTCATATTAGGTTTTGATGTGGTGTGCTTTCAAGAAGATGAATTAGATGATCGGGAAGGTTTAAAAGCTTTCATAACCCACATAGCTAACTTTCTGGATGGTTCTTCCACATTGATTAGTGGAAATGTATTTTTTTCCATTGGAGGTTATTTTAAACTAGATAGAATGANGATAATAATAAATTTTTAATATCTTAAAATAAAGCATATATTATAACAATATTAATAATAAGACCTAACAAATATTAAATTTTTTTGACAAAAATTAAAATAGAGTAAAATAAATATCCACCATTTTCATTAAAGATCATTACATCTATTAACATTCATAGTATATAAGATACATAATTNTTTTTTGACAAAAATTAAAATAGAGTAAAATAAATATCCACCATTTTCATTAAAGATCATTACATCTATTAACATTCATAGTATATAAGATACATAATTAAAAAAAAAAATCACACCCCTTTTAATAATTAACAGTAGTTTTCTTTTTGAAAAAAAAAATTTGTGATCGTGTCATGGTTGTATCCTAGGCTCCTAGCTATATCCTAGTTGTAACCTGATCGTGTTCAACTGAGTTCACTACTGAGGACATTTTTAGCCGCCTCGGATATGTGTTCAACCATGTCCAACACATATCCGACACTGCCACGGCACCCTCCAAGAAGTATATGTGCTTCCTAGCCCACAAATGATGACAACATATATGAAATGTCCACGGTCATTTAACCTCCATTTATCAATCCATAAATTTAAACTATTGACACTATTCCCTTTCTCATTTCTCATAAAAGAGATTTTGTCTATCTAATCTCCTTTCCCGCCTATCCCCCGTGTTATCCAATTCATTTCACTTTCTCTTTCTTTCAGATTCCAAACTCCAAAAGTTGGTCTGTTTACAGCATAAATCTCCCTTTCTCAAATGATTAGATTCTCGATGCCGAACGTCCCCACCCAATCTTTCTCAAGACTCTTCTTCCTTTAATCCTTTTAAGCTACACTGGCTATTGATGGTCCAATGAAGACACCCATCATGCTCACTCATATAACAATCACCAAGCTTCAGTCTAGAGCCCAGCACACGTCACTGGGATATACATTATTACAACATTTAAACTTGGACCAACACGCTATTGAAAATAAAATCCAAACCACCTGCTAAGAATGATGAAGTTTCCATTTACATCATTTTTCCTTCTCCTGAAGGAAACGGAACAAATAACTGCAAAAGAACCTGCATTTCATTTCAATTCCACAGGTTGGTGATAATGTTTGAAGGGTATTAGAAACACTTTCCAAATTTAAGGAATACAACAAACAACATCCTTAATTTTATTATTTTTATATGAATTCCAAAAGTGCAGAAAGATTGCATGGAAATTTAGCTTTGCAGTACTGTATTCGATTTGAAACATACTGTATCAGGGCGCATGAACAAAGTGTTCCATGCTCGTGTATTTCCACTAGCTTCAGATGTCTTCTTCTCCTCCTCCCTCTGTTGCTTAAACGTTTTTGCAGATTGGTTGGAGAAATTGGCCCTACACAGTGAATGCAGTCATAAAATAGTCCTCCTTCAGTTACACACACACACACAAAAAAAAAAAGAACATTTATTCATTTTTTATATTTTTGTAGAGCACAAAAGTGATGAAGCTATAACTTCATTCAATGCAAAATTGACTACCTAAAGAGCAAACAAAAAAAATAAATGCCTACTTACTGTTGTTTAGAGGTGGGATTCTTCTGCTTTGCTGGCATAACATGCAATAATCTGCCTTGAAAAATTGAATTGTCCAACTCTTCTAATGCCCTGAATGAGACAACATATGAATTGGTTATTTGAAAAAAGAAAAGTCCAATCAAAAAAACAATTAGCAACAGTATATTAAAGCCAGCAATTAACAAAGATCCAAGCACAAAACTAATGTCTGCTTTTTGATATCTACAAGTCAAACTCATATCTTCTTTTCTCTCTCTTATGATATTTCTCTCTCTCTCTCTCTCTCTCCCCTCTCCTAGTTACTCTCCAGTGCTCTCCCTCCCTCACTAGTTTCTCTCTCTCTAGCTATTTGTCTCTCTCTATGATTCTATCTTCTCCCTTGTTTATTCCCCCAACCACTCTCATTTGTGTTCCTCCAGTAAAATTATCTCCTAACATTTGTTTCTTGTGCACTTTCTCCACCAAATGTGACAACGACAACAAGGAACTGCAGAAAAATGGAGTGGAGACTTTCTTTCCCATATCATCTTTCATCCATCAGGATGATATCTTTCTTTGTTAAAGCTAGAACTCTCCTGATTCGACAACAAATTTCTCAAGGTAAGAATCATAATCTTAATCACATAGCTATATGATGTATTATAAACTATGATTTTATTCTAAGTTTTGTACTATGTTTGGTTGCTAAAATACGCACGTCTTTCATGTCTCGATTTATTTGAAGTTGGAATGGATGTTGTACGAGAAGTTACAATAGGAAAAATAGAAGAAATATACATTCCTCAAGTTTCACATTAGAAAAAACCAAAAGAAGGTCAAGAGTTCAATACATTAGATGACCCATACAATTTTACAACTCATATGCAGAGAAGGCTGGTTTGAGTATGAGCATAGACAAGAGTAAGAAAACTTAGGGAATTGATAACACATATTGGAAACAATATTTTTGTTATAAGGAAGGAGAAACAACTGAGACAGACAAGAAGAAAAAAGATAAGGAAATTTTTTTTAATGGGAATGTGGAAAAAGATTCGAGTAAAGTAGAAAGACTATGAAGAAAAATAAGGGAGGATTCTAGAGCAAAATTAATTGATGTTTAACGTGGGTGAAAATACATCATCAATTAATTGGTTGAGGGTTATAACCACCCCTTTGCAATAAACAGCAAAATACACTTGTTAAGGTCACACCGCAAGGTTTAAGATGCAAAGAAGGTGTTAGTACAACAATTTGTAAGTGTAAATGTTCCCACACATTAACAATTTGCTATTTGAGAGGCACATGCAGGAGGATTTTAAAATGTTGGATGTGCATAAAGAAATATAAGAAACCATGAGCGAAATATGAGGGAGAAAATGAAAGGTTGACTTTCAAATCTGAACAAGAAAAGAATCTAACATTTGTCTTTGGTTTTGCTATAAATGAAAATAAGAGGATGAACCATTGTTTTGGGTTAACCCTGTTGCAATAAGAGCATATAGTTTTTTTAGTGATGTTGTAGTGTTTGATATGACATACAATACAAACCATTATAGTGTGATATTTGTTCAACTTACTGGGGTTAACCACCATAGCCAAACAATTGTTTTTGGATGTGGCTTTTTGATTGACGAGATTATTGAGTCATTCATTTGGCCAAACAATCGTTTCCAACGGGTACGCCGGGAGTTTATAACTTATCAAGACCAACAATGACGAAGGCTATATCTCAAGCTTTTCCATGTACCTTCCATCATTATTGTACTAGGCACATTCTGAAAAAGTTTTCTGAAAAGCTAAACTCAATTGTTTATCAAGATCACTATCATCATTTTAAAGCATGCATATGTGATTCTAAGACCAGGGAATAATTTGTAGAATGTTAGAAGAACGAGTTGCAAAAAAGTAAACACAGGGGCGGCCCAATACTATTCGAGGCTCTAAGCGAAAATTATACATGTGGCCTTTTAAAATTTAATATTAGTATATAAGTAATACAACCAAAATTTTGTTTAAAATTTATTTTTTTTATTTTTTGAGATGTAAAAGTACTAATTAACCTTCCATACTTAAGTTTTGTTATTATATCATTTTTGAATATATGGTATGGCTAATTTACTCAATATTTTTGTGACATAATTCATCACAAATAGGAATAGTTTTAATTTTAAAAACCAAAATTTGCAAGAGCAATTGGTATGTGTACTCTCAATACTATTATATAAGCAATAGATATATTCGGGAAAAAAAAGCCTAATGTAGGGCCCCCTCTAAGGCGAGGCCCTAAGCGGCTAAGCTGGCTTACACTTGGGCAGGCACCGAGTAAACAGGAAGATAATGATTTTCTGAAAAAAATGTCTGAATTACGGGATAAATGGGTTCCTGCATATGTCAGTACTATTTCTTCTGCTAGAATGTCAAGTATTCAAAGAGCATCTCACATTCATTCTTCAAAAGGTATTGTTCGAAAAATAATTCGCTAATGGACTTTGTCTTGCAATTTAATTGGGGTACTTGCACATGTACGACATTAGGAGTACACAGCAGATTATTGTGATACAAATGAAAAACCAAACTTGAGATCGCTCGTGCCGATGGAGAAATAAATGGTGGGTATGTGTACTAAGAAATACTTTCATATTTTTCAAGTTGAGATTTATGAAAGTAATACTTATGTTATAAATTCTACAATGGAAGATGAAATGAATGTGTTCACATTTCTGGCACGTTTTAGCATTTTTTGAGTGAAGCAAATTTTGCTTTTGCCGGACAAGTATATCATGCAAAGATAGAGAAAAAATGTTGGAGTTGCAAGTGTGATAGGTCAAGATGGTGTGGAAATTAAAGATGTGCTAGATAAGTCCTCAATGATGAGGCGCACTAAATTAGCCCAACTTGCTTCAGTTGCGGTTGATGAAACCTCAATGTTGGAGGAGGGGACCAAACTCTTAACAAATACACTTGAAGCAACTATTGAATCAATCAGAGCCATGAAGTCAAGTAGATGTGGACAAAGATTGTTAGCAAAAAGGAAGGACATTCATGAGCAACGAAATTTCAATGATTCACTTCAAGTTGGGGCAAAAGGATGTGGAAAGCATTTGAAATCATCGAAAGAGAAGGCCATGGATAAACTTGGACAATGCCATGGTTGTGGCAAAATTGAGCAGACGCACACCATGGGTAATTCATGTGATTCACAAAATACTAATGATCCTAGTGAATAATCATCTTGGATGTGAACATTTTTGTTATTTTGGGTAAGTGAATCCGTACAAATTTTATTTCTTCAATTCCTTGGTACAAAATTATATATTTTTATTTATCACAACATAATCTTTTAAGTACTTATTTTATTCATATTAGGTTTTGATGTGGTGTGCTTTCAAGAAGATGAATTAGATGATCGGGAAGGTTTAAAAGCTTTCATAACCCACATAGCTAACTTTCTGGATGGTTCTTCCACATTGATTAGTGGAAATGTATTTTTTTGCATTGGAGGTTATTTTAAACTAGATAGAATGATTTCTTTTATTAATGATTGGTTGAATAAATCAAGGTGGCAATCATACCATGTAAAAACCTTTTGTCCAATTACATTTTGTCGAGTTTATAACTACTTGGTGACATTTTTTTTTAATGGCATGGCCATGTTTTGTGGTTCAAATGGGGTGGTATAATCATACCCAACTAAGGGGGCCAACATTTTAAGTATTATGTGGGGTTGCTTATCAAATAAATAGGTTGACACAAGCATACCTCGCAATTTAAGGCACAATAATCAGGACAATTAAGCCCTGCGTAATAGTTAGGCCCAAAAAAAATACCTTACTGCAGATTCTGGAAACATGTAAAGAACATAGGCAATACCCTTGGACCGCTTTGTATCTTTATCTACAACAAGATGGACTTGTGAGACATTCCCAAATCTGCTAAAATGCTCTTCCAGCTCATCCTCACTGAATTCAGTCAAAAACAATGCAGCAATCAGAATGTAAGAAAAAATGAAAAGTAAAAATTAAATAGAAACAACAACAAAAACAAAAGCAAAGCATAAATTACAGGTAATGGAAAATCAACCTAAAGGACTAGCAATAATTNTTAGCCGCCTCGGATATGTGTTCAACCATGTCCAACACATATCCGACACTGCCACGGCACCCTCCAAGAAGTATATGTGCTTCCTAGCCCACAAATGATGACAACATATATGAAATGTCCACGGTCATTTAACCTCCATTTATCAATCCATAAATTTAAACTATTGACACTATTCCCTTTCTCATTTCTCATAAAAGAGATTTTGTCTATCTAATCTCCTTTCCCGCCTATCCCCCGTGTTATCCAATTCATTTCACTTTCTCTTTCTTTCAGATTCCAAACTCCAAAAGTTGGTCTGTTTACAGCATAAATCTCCCTTTCTCAAATGATTAGATNAAGAAGTATATGTGCTTCCTAGCCCACAAATGATGACAACATATATGAAATGTCCACAGTCATTTAACCTCCATTTATCAATCCATAAATTTAAACTATTGACACTATCCCCTTTCTCATTTCTCATAAAAGAGATTTTGTCTATCTAATCTCCTTTCCCGCCTATCCCCCATGTTATCCAATTCATTTCACTTTCTCTTTCTTTCAAGCTGGATACAGATTCCAAACTCCAAAAGTTGGTCTGTTTACAGCATAAATCTCCCTTTCTCAAATGATTAGATTCTCGATGCCGAACGTCCCCACCCAATCTTTCTCAAGACTCTTCTTCCTTTAATCCTTTTAAGCTACACTGGCTATTGATGGTCCAATGAAGACACCCATCATGCTCACTCATATAACAATCACCAAGCTTCAGTCTAGAGCCCAGCACACGTCACTGGGATATACATTATTACAACATTTAAACTTGGACCAACACGCTATTGAAAATAAAATCCAAACCACCTGCTAAGAATGATGAAGTTTCCATTTACATCATTTTTCCTTCTCCTGAAGGAAACGGAACAAATAACTGCAAAAGAACCTGCATTTCATTTCAATTCCACAGGTTGGTGATAATGTTTGAAGGGTATTAGAAACACTTTCCAAATTTAAGGAATACAACAAACAACATCCTTAATTTTATTATTTTTATATGAATTCCAAAAGTGCAGAAAGATTGCATGGAAATTTAGCTTTGCAGTACTGTATTCGATTTGAAACATACTGTATCAGGGCGCATGAACAAAGTGTTCCATGCTCGTGTATTTCCACTAGCTTCAGATGTCTTCTTCTCCTCCTCCCTCTGTTGCTTAAACGTTTTTGCAGATTGGTTGGAGAAATTGGCCCTACACAGTGAATGCAGTCATAAAATAGTCCTCCTTCAGTTACACACACACACACAAAAAAAAAAAGAACATTTATTCATTTTTTATATTTTTGTAGAGCACAAAAGTGATGAAGCTATAACTTCATTCAATGCAAAATTGACTACCTAAAGAGCAAACAAAAAAAATAAATGCCTACTTACTGTTGTTTAGAGGTGGGATTCTTCTGCTTTGCTGGCATAACATGCAATAATCTGCCTTGAAAAATTGAATTGTCCAACTCTTCTAATGCCCTGAATGAGACAACATATGAATTGGTTATTTGAAAAAAGAAAAGTCCAATCAAAAAAACAATTAGCAACAGTATATTAAAGCCAGCAATTAACAAAGATCCAAGCACAAAACTAATGTCTGCTTTTTGATATCTACAAGTCAAACTCATATCTTCTTTTCTCTCTCTTATGATATTTCTCTCTCTCTCTCTCTCTCTCCCCTCTCCTAGTTACTCTCCAGTGCTCTCCCTCCCTCACTAGTTTCTCTCTCTCTAGCTATTTGTCTCTCTCTATGATTCTATCTTCTCCCTTGTTTATTCCCCCAACCACTCTCATTTGTGTTCCTCCAGTAAAATTATCTCCTAACATTTGTTTCTTGTGCACTTTCTCCACCAAATGTGACAACGACAACAAGGAACTGCAGAAAAATGGAGTGGAGACTTTCTTTCCCATATCATCTTTCATCCATCAGGATGATATCTTTCTTTGTTAAAGCTAGAACTCTCCTGATTCGACAACAAATTTCTCAAGGTAAGAATCATAATCTTAATCACATAGCTATATGATGTATTATAAACTATGATTTTATTCTAAGTTTTGTACTATGTTTGGTTGCTAAAATACGCACGTCTTTCATGTCTTGATTTATTTGAAGTTGGAATGGATGTTGTACGAGAAGTTACAATAGGAAAAATAGAAGAAATATACATTCCTCAAGTTTCACATTAGAAAAAACCAAAAGAAGGTCAAGAGTTCAATACATTAGATGACCCATACAATTTTACAACTCATATGCAGAGAAGGCTGGTTTGAGTATGAGCATAGACAAGAGTAAGAAAACTTAGGGAATTGATAACACATATTGGAAACAATATTTTTGTTATAAGGAAGGAGAAACAACTGAGACAGACAAGAAGAAAAAAGATAAGGAAATTTTTTTTAATGGGAATGTGGAAAAAGATTCGAGTAAAGTAGAAAGACTATGAAGAAAAATAAGGGAGGATTCTAGAGCAAAATTAATTGATGTTTAACGTGGGTAAAAATACATCATCAATTAATTGGTTGAGGGTTATAACCACCCCTTTGCAATAAACAGCAAAATACACTTGTTAAGGTCACACCGCAAGGTTTAAGATGCAAAGAAGGTGTTAGTACAACAATTTGTAAGTGTAAATGTTCCCACACATTAACAATTTGCTATTTGAGAGGCACATGCAGGAGGATTTTAAAATGTTGGATGTGCATAAAGAAATATAAGAAACCATGAGCGAAATATGAGGGAGAAAATGAAAGGTTGACTTTCAAATCTGAACAAGAAAAGAATCTAACATTTGTCTTTGGTTTTGCTATAAATGAAAATAAGAGGATGAACCATTGTTTTGGGTTAACCCTGTTGCAATAAGAGCATATAGTTTTTTTAGTGATGTTGTAGTGTTTGATATGACATACAATACAAACCATTATAGTGTGATATTTGTTCAACTTACTGGGGTTAACCACCATAGCCAAACAATTGTTTTTGGATGTGGCTTTTTGATTGACGAGATTATTGAGTCATTCATTTGGCCAAACAATCGTTTCCAACGGGTACGCCGGGAGTTTATAACTTATCAAGACCAACAATGACGAAGGCTATATCTCAAGCTTTTCCATGTACCTTCCATCATTATTGTACTAGGCACATTCTGAAAAAGTTTTCTGAAAAGCTAAACTCAATTGTTTATCAAGATCACTATCATCATTTTAAAGCATGCATATGTGATTCTAAGACCAGGGAATAATTTGTAGAATGTTAGAAGAACGAGTTGCAAAAAAGTAAACACAGGGGCGGCCCAATACTATTCGAGGCTCTAAGCGAAAATTATACATGTGGCCTTTTAAAATTTAATATTAGTATATAAGTAATACAACCAAAATTTTGTTTAAAATTTATTTTTTTTATTTTTTGAGATGTAAAAGTACTAATTAACCTTCCATACTTAAGTTTTGTTATTATATCATTTTTGAATATATGGTATGGCTAATTTACTCAATATTTTTGTGACATAATTCATCACAAATAGGAATAGTTTTAATTTTAAAAACCAAAATTTGCAAGAGCAATTGGTATGTGTACTCTCAATACTATTATATAAGCAATAGATATATTCGGGAAAAAAAAGCCTAATGTAAGGCCCCCTCTAAGGCGAGGCCCTAAGCGGCTAAGCTGGCTTACACTTGGGCAGGCACCGAGTAAACAGGAAGATAATGATTTTCTGAAAAAAATGTCTGAATTACGGGATAAATGGGTTCCTGCATATGTCAGTACTATTTCTTCTGCTAGAATGTCAAGTATTCAAAGAGCATCTCACATTCATTCTTCAAAAGGTATTGTTCGAAAAATAATTCGCTAATGGACTTTGTCTTGCAATTTAATTGGGGTACTTGCACATGTACGACATTAGGAGTACACAGCAGATTATTGTGATACAAATGAAAAACCAAACTTGAGATCGCTCGTGCCGATGGAGAAATAAATGGTGGGTATGTGTACTAAGAAATACTTTCATATTTTTCAAGTTGAGATTTATGAAAGTAATACTTATGTTATAAATTCTACAATGGAAGATGAAATGAATGTGTTCACATTTCTGGCACGTTTTAGCATTTTTTGAGTGAAGCAAATTTTGCTTTTGCCGGACAAGTATATCATGCAAAGATAGAGAAAAAATGTTGGAGTTGCAAGTGTGATAGGTCAAGATGGTGTGGAAATTAAAGATGTGCTAGATAAGTCCTCAATGATGAGGCGCACTAAATTAGCCCAACTTGCTTCAGTTGCGGTTGATGAAACCTCAATGTTGGAGGAGGGGACCAAACTCTTAACAAATACACTTGAAGCAACTATTGAATCAATCAGAGCCATGAAGTCAAGTAGATGTGGACAAAGATTGTTAGCAAAAAGGAAGGACATTCATGAGCAACGAAATTTCAATGATTCACTTCAAGTTGGGGCAAAAGGATGTGGAAAGCATTTGAAATCATCGAAAGAGAAGGCCATGGATAAACTTGGACAATGCCATGGTTGTGGCAAAATTGAGCAGACGCACACCATGGGTAATTCATGTGATTCACAAAATACTAATGATCCTAGTGAATAATCATCTTGGATGTGAACATTTTTGTTATTTTGGGTAAGTGAATCCGTACAAATTTTATTTCTTCAATTCCTTGGTACAAAATTATATATTTTTATTTATCACAACATAATCTTTTAAGTACTTATTTTATTCATATTAGGTTTTGATGTGGTGTGCTTTCAAGAAGATGAATTAGATGATCGGGAAGGTTTAAAAGCTTTCATAACCCACATAGCTAACTTTCTGGATGGTTCTTCCACATTGATTAGTGGAAATGTATTTTTTTGCATTGGAGGTTATTTTAAACTAGATAGAATGATTTCTTTTATTAATGATTGGTTGAATAAATCAAGGTGGCAATCATACCATGTAAAAACCTTTTGTCCAATTACATTTTGTCGAGTTTATAACTACTTGGTGACATTTTTTTTTAATGGCATGGCCATGTTTTGTGGTTCAAATGGGGTGGTATAATCATACCCAACTAAGGGGGCCAACATTTTAAGTATTATGTGGGGTTGCTTATCAAATAAATAGGTTGACACAAGCATACCTCGCAATTTAAGGCACAATAATCAGGACAATTAAGCCCTGCGTAATAGTTAGGCCCAAAAAAAATACCTTACTGCAGATTCTGGAAGCATGTAAAGAACATAGGCAATACCCTTGGACCGCTTTGTATCTTTATCTACAACAAGATGGACTTGTGAGACATTCCCAAATCTGCTAAAATGCTCTTCCAGCTCATCCTCACTGAATTCAGTCAAAAACAATGCAGCAATCAGAATGTAAGAAAAAATGAAAAGTAAAAATTAAATAGAAACAACAACAAAAACAAAAGCAAAGCATAAATTACAGGTAATGGAAAATCAACCTAAAGGACTAGCAATAATTACACAAACCAAACATGAATTCATAAGCTAACTGGGATGTGATAGAGGACCGGACAGCAAATAAAAAATAGAAGCAAGGACACATACGTGGCAGAATATGGCAGATTACGGACAAAAAGACGACCAGTCTCCAGACCTTCTTCTTCCTCATCTTTCAAACTTAGCAACGGTACACCCGATTTGCCCATTTCATCGTCAGCTACTTCACAGGACCTGGCTTCCACCTCCTCTTCCGAGACATCTTCTTCATGGGTATGCGCTGGACCCCTATCATCTACGTTTTCAACATCCTGGCCCTCAACAGTTTCAATGAACGAACCGTTGCTGCCACTGTCATCCTCATCATCATCATTATTGTCTTCATCTTCACCACTTTCTGAATCTGACCAGTCTTGCTTTACCCTACTTCTGAAATAATCCATATCTGAGACAACATCATCTTGAGCCAAATTGAGTTGTTTCTCCGCCTCCTGAGTGTCTAATGGCACATTTTCTCTCTCATGAGTGCCATCTAACTCAGTAAGCATTGGCACCAATTCATCCTTGAATTCCTTTTTCACTTGAATTTGCTTATCACTAGCTTTCCCATTTCGCTCAAGAGAGGGAACTGTCAATGTATCATTTGCCCACAATTTTGACTTGTTACGGGGCTGCATGATCTCAAGAAACTCCTGCAGTTGAGGGTCATCATTCTCACTTTCCTTTTTATTGTCTTTCTTAATCTTCTTTTTCTCCTCTTTAGAATTTGTGATGCTTGGACTGTTGGTACCCGTAGGCTTCTTTCCATCTTCATTCAATTTCTCTTGTTTCTTCAAGGAATACCGACTCCATGGACGAGGGATATTTGGATCCCCAACTTTACGAGCGAGCTGGAAATTTGCAAAGGGAGGTAACACTTAAACATATTGTTAAAAACATTTCCTTAAATGTGCGACATTATGCTTCTTGCATGCAACAAAACAAAATGCTTTACCATAGCTCATGCAGCCAGATAAAAATCATCTTTACTGGAGTGTTCTACATGCTTTTCAATTGAATATATCACATGAAGTGAGAAAAAGGGAAATGTTTCATGCTAAAATGGCCATTTTCTACGAGGGTTGGAACCCGGACTTTTGCATTACTTGGATAAAATGATGAACTCCGCACATACAAGTACAGACTGTTAACTTACAAAAGTGCATGATCCAAGATATACACAAACATAATGCCTGTAGGTTTAAATATCATTTGCACACGTACTGCGTGTAGATTAAGCATATTTATTGCTGTACATCCGCAGAATATCTGTGATACCTATTGTATCTGTAAAGCTCAGTATACAAGACATACAAACTTACTCAACCACCCGGATTANCTTTTTGATATCTACAAGTCAAACTCATATCTTCTTTTCTCTCTCTTATGATATTTCTCTCTCTCTCTCTCTCTCTCCCCTCTCCTAGTTACTCTCCAGTGCTCTCCCTCCCTCACTAGTTTCTCTCTCTCTAGCTATTTGTCTCTCTCTATGATTCTATCTTCTCCCTTGTTTATTTCCCCAACCACTCTCATTTGTGTTCCTCCAGTAAAATTATCTCCTAACATTTGTTTCTTGTGCACTTTCTCTACCAAATGTGACGNTATCAAGTACAAAATTTGTAATAACCATATATATCGCACAGTTTCTTCCAGATTTTTCACAATTGCTACTAATTTGAGGCAAGCAAACGGATGAGAGAGAGAGAGAGAANTATCAAGTACAAAATTTGTAATAACCATATATATCGCACAGTTTCTTCCAGATTTTTGACAATTGCTACTAATTTGAGGCAAGCAAACGGATGAGAGAGAGAGAGAGAGAGAGAGAAAATTTCATTTAAACTACCATGTAAAACCTTTATACAAGGAATTAAGCACAACACCTCACAATTGATCCTACAAGTATCGATGAAAGCATTGTTGAAGTATTTGAGAGCTTCCTCTGCTTCTCTCTCGGTCCGGAACCCAATAAATCCAAACTGCCTGCTCTTGCCATCTCTATGATCAATTAATTCAGAAGAAAACCCAAATATAGCAACATTAGTAGCAATTCTTTCGTGAAAAATAATAAACCCAAATTTAGCAATTTAAAAAAAAAATATGCAAATTTGCTACTCTACTTGGTGCGCATGAGCTTGGCATCGGTAACTTCTCCTTTCTGAGAAAAGAATTCTCTGAGGCGGTCCTCGGCTATGTACTTGGGTAAATTCTTCACGCATATTCGAGACCTTCATACCCCAAATTGACAAAAAAATAAACCTTTTTAGAGACACATAGCTCGAAAATTTGCTGGATTTATAGAACATCTGAATACTCACATCGGTCCTCGCTTGATTTTGGTTTAGAGACGCGAGAGCGAACGAGCGATGGAGATTGAATGCCGTGTGTGTGTGTGTGAGAGAGAGAGAGAGTGTGTGTCCCCGCGGCTGCACAGGGAGAACAATCTATCCGAGTGGGTGGTAGCCGACCTGGGCGGGAGGGATTAGAGGGTCAAACTGACGTAACCGGCGGGTTCAAATAGGTGCAAGCGAAATAACAGACGGTTCAAACCGATCTAAATCTAATCAACATTTCTCCTTTCTGTTCTGTCAGGGGTAGTTTGTAGAAACTCGGGTTGAACTCGGATTATGTGCGTGAATTGCAATTCGGGTTTTAATTAGGGTTGAGATCGAATCCTACAACAACAGAAGTTGAGATCATTTTTGCCCAATCGTCCGAAGATTATAACTCATAAGTGAACTGTCATTACGTTTGTTTGGATGAGATGTAAAACAAGCACAAATGGGTGCCGTCGGCGTGAGAGAGAGTGAGAGTTATGCCGCTTCGCTTGGGAACTGAGACGGAGCCTGACCCTAAACTCTTTGTAAATTAATATATATTTTATNATTTTAAAAACCAAAATTTGCAAGAGCAATTGGTATGTGTACTCTCAATACTATTATATAAGCAATAGATATATTCGGGAAAAAAAAGCCTAATGTAAGGCCCCCTCTAAGGCGAGGCCCTAAGCGGCTAAGCTGGCTTACACTTGGGCAGGCACCGAGTAAACAGGAAGATAATGATTTTCTGAAAAAAATGTCTGAATTACGGGATAAATGGGTTCCTGCATATGTCAGTACTATTTCTTCTGCTAGAATGTCAAGTATTCAAAGAGCATCTCACATTCATTCTTCAAAAGGTATTGTTCGAAAAATAATTCGCTAATGGACTTTGTCTTGCAATTTAATTGGGGTACTTGCACATGTACGACATTAGGAGTACACAGCAGATTATTGTGATACAAATGAAAAACCAAACTTGAGATCGCTCGTGCCGATGGAGAAATAAATGGTGGGTATGTGTACTAAGAAATACTTTCATATTTTTCAAGTTGAGATTTATGAAAGTAATACTTATGTTATAAATTCTACAATGGAAGATGAAATGAATGTGTTCACATTTCTGGCACGTTTTAGCATTTTTTGAGTGAAGCAAATTTTGCTTTTGCCGGACAAGTATATCATGCAAAGATAGAGAAAAAATGTTGGAGTTGCAAGTGTGATAGGTCAAGATGGTGTGGAAATTAAAGATGTGCTAGATAAGTCCTCAATGATGAGGCGCACTAAATTAGCCCAACTTGCTTCAGTTGCGGTTGATGAAACCTCAATGTTGGAGGAGGGGACCAAACTCTTAACAAATACACTTGAAGCAACTATTGAATCAATCAGAGCCATGAAGTCAAGTAGATGTGGACAAAGATTGTTAGCAAAAAGGAAGGACATTCATGAGCAACGAAATTTCAATGATTCACTTCAAGTTGGGGCAAAAGGATGTGGAAAGCATTTGAAATCATCGAAAGAGAAGGCCATGGATAAACTTGGACAATGCCATGGTTGTGGCAAAATTGAGCAGACGCACACCATGGGTAATTCATGTGATTCACAAAATACTAATGATCCTAGTGAATAATCATCTTGGATGTGAACATTTTTGTTATTTTGGGTAAGTGAATCCGTACAAATTTTATTTCTTCAATTCCTTGGTACAAAATTATATATTTTTATTTATCACAACATAATCTTTTAAGTACTTATTTTATTCATATTAGGTTTTGATGTGGTGTGCTTTCAAGAAGATGAATTAGATGATCGGGAAGGTTTAAAAGCTTTCATAACCCACATAGCTAACTTTCTGGATGGTTCTTCCACATTGATTAGTGGAAATGTATTTTTTTGCATTGGAGGTTATTTTAAACTAGATAGAATGATTTCTTTTATTAATGATTGGTTGAATAAATCAAGGTGGCAATCATACCATGTAATAACCTTTTGTCAAATTACATTTTGTCGAGTTTATAACTACTTGGTGACATTTTTTTTTAATGGCATGGCCATGTTTTGTGGTTCAAATGGGGTGGTATAATCATACCCAACTAAGGGGGCCAACATTTTAAGTATTATGTGGGGTTGCTTATCAAATAAATAGGTTGACACAAGCATACCTCGCAATTTAAGGCACAATAATCAGGACAATTAAGCCCTGCGTAATAGTTAGGCCCAAAAAAAATACCTTACTGCAGATTCTGGAAACATGTAAAGAACATAGGCAATACCCTTGGACCGCTTTGTATCTTTATCTACAACAAGATGGACTTGTGAGACATTCCCAAATCTGCTAAAATGCTCTTCCAGCTCATCCTCACTGAATTCAGTCAAAAACAATGCAGCAATCAGAATGTAAGAAAAAATGAAAAGTAAAAATTAAATAGAAACAACAACAAAAACAAAAGCAAAGCATAAATTACAGGTAATGGAAAATCAACCTAAAGGACTAGCAATAATTACACAAACCAAACATGAATTCATAAGCTAACTGGGATGTGATAGAGGACCGGACAGCAAATAAAAAATAGAAGCAAGGACACATACGTGGCAGAATATGGCAGATTACGGACAAAAAGACGACCAGTCTCCAGACCTTCTTCTTCCTCATCTTTCAAACTTAGCAACGGTACACCCGATTTGCCCATTTCATCGTCAGCTACTTCACAGGACCTGGCTTCCACCTCCTCTTCCGAGACATCTTCTTCATGGGTATGCGCTGGACCCCTATCATCTACGTTTTCAACATCCTGGCCCTCAACAGTTTCAATGAACGAACCGTTGCTGCCACTGTCATCCTCATCATCATCATTATTGTCTTCATCTTCACCACTTTCTGAATCTGACCAGTCTTGCTTTACCCTACTTCTGAAATAATCCATATCTGAGACAACATCATCTTGAGCCAAATTGAGTTGTTTCTCCGCCTCCTGAGTGTCTAATGGCACATTTTCTCTCTCATGAGTGCCATCTAACTCAGTAAGCATTGGCACCAATTCATCCTTGAATTCCTTTTTCACTTGAATTTGCTTATCACTAGCTTTCCCATTTCGCTCAAGAGAGGGAACTGTCAATGTATCATTTGCCCACAATTTTGACTTGTTACGGGGCTGCATGATCTCAAGAAACTCCTGCAGTTGAGGGTCATCATTCTCACTTTCCTTTTTATTGTTTTTCTTAATCTTCTTTTTCTCCTCTTTAGAATTTGTGATGCTTGGACTGTTGGTACCCGTAGGCTTCTTTCCATCTTCATTCAATTTCTCTTGTTTCTTCAAGGAATACCGACTCCATGGACGAGGGATATTTGGATCCCCAACTTTACGAGCGAGCTGGAAATTTGCAAAGGGAGGTAACACTTAAACATATTGTTAAAAACATTTCCTTAAATGTGCGACATTATGCTTCTTGCATGCAACAAAACAAAATGCTTTACCATAGCTCATGCAGCCAGATAAAAATCATCTTTACTGGAGTGTTCTACATGCTTTTCAATTGAATATATCACATGAAGTGAGAAAAAGGGAAATGTTTCATGCTAAAATGGCCATTTTCTACGAGGGTTGGAACCCGGACTTTTGCATTACTTGGATAAAATGATGAACTCCGCACATACAAGTACAGACTGTTAACTTACAAAAGTGCATGATCCAAGATATACACAAACATAATGCCTGTAGGTTTAAATATCATTTGCACACGTACTGCGTGTAGATTAAGCATATTTATTGCTGTACATCCGCAGAATATCTGTGATACCTATTGTATCTGTAAAGCTCAGTATACAAGACATACAAACTTACTCAACCACCCGGATTATCAAGTACAAAATTTGTAATAACCATATATATCGCACAGTTTCTTCCAGATTTTTGACAATTGCTACTAATTTGAGGCAAGCAAACGGATGAGAGAGAGAGAGAGAGAGAGAGAAAATTTCATTTAAACTACCATGTAAAACCTTTATACAAGGAATTAAGCACAACACCTCACAATTGATCCTACAAGTATCGATGAAAGCATTGTTGAAGTATTTGAGAGCTTCCTCTGCTTCTCTCTCGGTCCGGAACCCAATAAATCCAAACTGCCTGCCCTTGCCATCTCTATGATCAATTAATTCAGAAGAAAACCCAAATATAGCAACATTAGTAGCAATTCTTTCGTGAAAAATAATAAACCCAAATTTAGCAATTTAAAAAAAAAATATGCAAATTTGCTACTCTACTTGGTGCGCATGAGCTTGGCATCGGTAACTTCTCCTTTCTGAGAAAAGAATTCTCTGAGGCGGTCCTCGGCTATGTACTTGGGTAAATTCTTCACGCATATTCGAGACCTTCATACCCCAAATTGACAAAAAAATAAACCTTTTTAGAGACACATAGCTCGAAAATTTGCTGGATTTATAGAACATCTGAATACTCACATCGGTCCTCGCTTGATTTTGGTTTAGAGACGCGAGAGCGAACGAGCGATGGAGATTGAATGCCGTGTGTGTGTGTGTGAGAGAGAGAGAGAGTGTGTGTCCCCGCGGCTGCACAGGGAGAACAATCTATCCGAGTGGGTGGTAGCCGACCTGGGCGGGAGGGATTAGAGGGTCAAACTGACGTAACCGGCGGGTTCAAATAGGTGCAAGCGAAATAACAGACGGTTCAAACCGATCTAAATCTAATCAACATTTCTCCTTTCTGTTCTGTCAGGGGTAGTTTGTAGAAACTCGGGTTGAACTCGGATTATGTGCGTGAATTGCAATTCGGGTTTTAATTAGGGTTGAGATCGAATCCTACAACAACAGAAGTTGAGATCATTTTTGCCCAATCGTCCGAAGATTATAACTCATAAGTGAACTGTCATTACGTTTGTTTGGATGAGATGTAAAACAAGCACAAATGGGTGCCGTCGGCGTGAGAGAGAGTGAGAGTTATGCCGCTTCGCTTGGGAACTGAGACGGAGCCTGACCCTAAACTCTTTGTAAATTAATATATATTTTATTTTTTATTAAACCTAATTATTAAAAAAACTACTTATAAAGTTCAAAAATATTTATCAGTTAAATACTATTTATAAAAGAATTTAAAAAACTTGAAAATCAAATTACGTATAAATGCGCGTGAACATATTTAAATAATATTTTTTTTATTAAACTTATAAAAAATATAGATTATATGTGTAATTGAATTAAATAAATAAATTATTTGTCGGAGAATTCATTCTTATTTTTATTATTACTAAATTTAATTTTTAATCTATACACGTATTATACAGTAATTTGAGTTATTAGAGTTATATTGTAATTAAAGACCTAAAGTTATAACAATAAGTAGAGCGAATGATTTGAAATCTAATGTTATATGATAAGAAGAGTTTTGGAAAGACATGGAAGGAAAAATGACGAGGTTAATAAGAATATGTGGGATATGATCGACCTAACATTTTTAAATAGAAATGAAATAGGAAATTAAAAGTTTTTTATATATGCTGATATTTATAAGTACTATAGATATAAATATAGATTTGGTTAAAACAATTGGGTTGAACCCGACTTGATCAATTTAGTTTAAACCAAAGATCCCAACCTAAGTTTTGTTCAAATTCAAAAAATATATTGCAACTTTTTTATTCGAGTTGACTCTGAATATCAAACATATATGCCTACAAATTATTTTTATAATTAATGTAGAGTTGAGTTAAATCTCACAAGATGGAAGTCTCATCCACTAAATTAGGTTTTATGTCCATTATTCCTAGTCAATGTAATATTTAGATTATGTGATTTTGGATTCAGCTTGAGTATTAATACTCTAACCTAACTTATATATATATACTATATACTACTACTTATAAAATGTCAGTATATGTGAAAAATTTTTAATTTCCTATTTCACCCTTAATTATTACCATAAAATCAATTATACCCACATATTTTCCTGTTTTTCATACCTACTTGACTTCTAAAATATTACCTAGATAAACTTTATCAAAATATTAACTATATAAACTTTATCTCTTATAATTTGATAAATAAACTTTATCTCTATGACCATACATTCTTTCTTTTTCATTCAATTGTACAAACTCTACTAGAATTCTAATACCGCATAGTAGTAATTTTAAGGTGATATATATACATATATTTTTTTGTCTTTCCTACTTATAAGACTTCTAAAATATTTGAAATTCCTTCATATATATATATATATATATATATATATATATATAGGATTCTAATACCACATGGGATCAAACTTTCCCAGCAAAATTATCAAACAAGTTTTTTCTTCCATTAACGTTAGAGTTAGAAGTTGGCCTACCATAGTCATTTATTTGAAGTCATATGGTCTCATACTCTTCTGTGACAAACTCAATGAAGTCAAAGTTGGAGTTTTCGGCATAATTGAGGTTAGTTTATTAATTCTTTTGTTTACGCTAATTTCTATATTTTGTGGCACTTAATTTTTCTTAATTTAATGTCAAGCAGCATTATAAGAGATTGGTGTGGCAAGTCAATAATTCGACATAATAATTGAGGTTAGTTTATTAATTCTTATGTTTTACTTTATTAAATTGATGAGTCAGGTCGAGTATTCGACATAATTGAGGTTAGTTTATTAATTCCTATGTTTACATTAAAATTTTCTATGTTAATGTTTCTTTGTTTTATTACAACCTCTCGTGAATTCAATTTTTCATTGCTCATATAGCTAATATTTTGAAAGCTTGTTCAAATCTCCTATAATATTTACCTAATTATTCTTAATTTTTGAATTGATGGTAAATTCCAATATTTATTGAAACAAACAATCAATCCAATAATAAATAAATTAAATCCAACATTTTTTGGATATTTTTATATGTACCATATTTTTGAGTATTTTTATCATTTATTGGCTAAAATTTATCAAATTTTGAGGTTAAAATATTAAGTGCCTTTTTTCTTGGTATTTTAATTATTCACTTACTTTTACAACAATTAACTAGGAATGTACAATGTGTGTTGAAAGTGAATATATTTAAATAACAATTTTTTATAAAAAAAAATCAAATTATATATGTAATTAAATTGAATCATAAATTATGTGTAGAATAATTAATTCTTATTTTAACTATTCTTAAACTTAATTATTGATCTATTCTACCCTATTTGAATATCTAATCTATCATTTGTTTAGATATCTCCCCGACCAATTAGACATTTTTCTACTTAAATAGATATGGAAAATGTTTGACAGTGTACTACTAATAAATGAGTGTAAAAGAATTTATAATTCAAATACTATTAATAGAAGAGTCCAAAATAATTCAGAAGTCAAATAGGTATAGGAAATAAAAAATGTATGAAAGTAATAAAAAAATTAGAATTCAAATATTGTAATAAAATAGTCCAAAATGACTTAAAAGTCAAATAGGTATACAAAAAAAAATGAGATGAGAATAATATGTGGGTATTATTGACTTTATAACAATAATTAAGGATAAAATAAGAAATCAAAAATTTTTCACAGATGTTGACATTTATAAATAGTAATAAATAATAATAATAATAATAATAACTAGTAATGCACGACATGCATTGCATGTAAATAAATTTTAGTAATACTTTTTTTTATTAAAAATATAAATTATATATATAATTAAATTAAATAATAAATTAGGTGTCAAATAATTAATTCATGTTTTAAGCAATTAATCTGTCATTTATTTAGGTATATGTTAGATCCTTTTAAATATTTGCACATTTAATTATATTATAAAATTAATAATTTTTATTTTGTTAAATAAATTGATTAGATCGCTCTTATAATATTATTATTTTATTACATACCAAAAATTAAAATATAATATATATTTAACTGTAGATCATATAGATATAAATAATTGTATATATAATTATATTACTAATAAATGAGTTCAAAAGAATTTCGAAGTCCTTATAAAAGAGTTTAAAACAAATTGAAAGTTAAATATAGGTAAAAAAATAAAAATATATAAGAGAGTATAATTGATTTTATTATAATAATTAGGGATAAAATAGAAAATGTAACGCCCCAAAAACCACCCTGGAAGGCATTACCTTTTAAAACCATTCATACCATGAGAATAACTAATAAAATCCATAAATAACCGGGAGTCCTTAATTTAATAACATTCGGGCAGAGTCTCCTTTGTTCGGGGAACTCTACCAAAAACACAATCTGTGCAATTATATTACATTGATCACACTGGGTCCATTTATCCATAAAATATTTACAACATTATCCAAAAAAAATAAGCCCAAACCAGGGCTACTACATTAAAAGAATTACATTTGAACTTAGCAGCGGAATAAACAAAGTACTAGACTTTACATGATTGTACATAATCATTTCTAGTGTAGCACCAAAAATAAACGATATCTCTAGATGTCCCACTCGCGATCCAAGTACCCCTCTAATGAAGCTTCTCTATAGCCCGGCTCGTTAGCACCGAACTCCTCCTCTGACCCATAATCTGTAAAATGTTTAACTGTAAAGGGTGAGCACGAAGCTCTGTAGAAAAACTCTCCCAAACTCGAACAAGGTTTAAAAAACAGATAAAAATTGGTCGGTCTCATTTAGTAAATAATATTTATCAATTTTTAAGGAAAAACATGACATTTTAAATATATCCCCAGTTTAAACCGTAACAATAATCAAGTGAAAGGATAAAATAAATTTCACAACAATATACCATTTTCAAATTTAAGCCATTTAGGAAGGACATCTTTCAATGCATTGTCCCATACCAATGCACTGACAAGACGATCCAACCCATCATCTCATGTATTTTGATTCATCTCCTTATCATGTATGTTGCTTGCTTCTCATGAATTTACCCAACGATTATACCTAGTCCACCAATCACAATTACAAGCACTTTAGGAAAGGGCGTCTACCATCCCAATGATAGTGACGAGTCCCTTCCTAGGAAAAAATATATCATCACTTATTCGAACTCCAGTGAACGATAGTGGTCGCATTACTAGATGACAACCCACTACAAGTGTTAGAAAACCATCTCACCTCCACTGGGATAGACTAACCTCTAACACTCTATGACATCTCCCGATGGCAAACCAAGTCCATCACAACCACCATACAAATGAGGAAACCAAAATATTCTCAATTCACCAACAATTCCAAATAAATACAAAATCCACAATTTCTCATTTTTACAAGCATATCTCAAAATCCCCAAATTTAAGATTTAGAGTAAAAAACATATATATATATATATATAGTCCTAGTCTCGATGAACAAGAGTGAGAAAAACTCCTACCTTGAATCAAAGTTTCAAGCCAAAAATCTAAGCTCTAGAGACATTCTTTCTCCCTTTCCTCATTTCCTCTATCTTCTCCTAGGGTGCTAAGAGGTTTGGGGTGAGAGTGGAATGAAAGAAATAGAAGCAAATGGACTGAAATCTATGTTTTAAACACAGCTGCCCCGACGGTTACTGTGTACAGGCTGGAATTTTAGTTTTCTCTAAAATTACGGTTTTACCACTAAAAATCTCCAATTTAATCTCTATGACTACCTTAAGGTTTTTCGACGTTTCAGATTTATTTTTTATGTTATTTTAACCTAAAAATATTTATTTTTATGATTTATTTTAAAATTAAAATAAATTTACACTCGAAACATTAAAATTATTATTTTATTCCTCCCTAATATTTATTCTTACGGTTTCAATATATATGATTTATTCTTACATCATTACATATATAAGAATCACTAAACAAGTACATTACTATATTAAGATAAACATGTGAGAGTTTACACCTTCAAAGTTTAAGAAGAAAATACAACACTTTACTATCTAAGGAACACCACAGTACAGATTTTTGATCAACTTCAGAGAATAAACTGATTTAACTCAGATATTTCTAGTATGTGTGNTAAGGTGTAAAATATATTTAATCTCATAAAATACACACAAGAGGCTTACCCTTAGGTGTAGGAAAGGTTTTTCCTATTATAGATCCGGAATAAGGGCAATCTTGGAGAATAAAAAACATAAATTCACGAATGATTGTTCAAACAATGGCAGGGCGGTCATATGAAAATGGTCACTAGAATGAAAAAAAAATTTTAGATCCACCTTAGAGAGCAANTCAAATTGGTGAAAGGTAGTCTGCCAGACTGTTTGGTTCTTCTATACTTGTCTAACTCGAATTTTGGTGTCTTTTGTCACAAACTATATCTCATACCCATCTCCAATATAAATAGTATGGCTTGTATAAAGATCCATGTCTAGCATCATTCATTAACCAAACCAAATTACCAGCCGTCTCCTAGAATCATTTATAACAACATGATGTAGAACTAGTATATCCATCAACATTTTTCTTCAATTCCTCTAAGCTAGCTAATTGATGAGAATGCAAAATGTCATATTTTTTTCTCTTTTAATATTTAGTCTTTTATACTTATTATTCTTATATTTTTATTTAGANTAGCACATAACGTAGTAATTTGAATTTAAATCTTTTGCAGTTCCTCAAACATGCTTAAATAACCAAAACTTGTGATGAAACACATAAGGGAAACAAAATAATACACCATTAGGTAAAACCCATTGGCGTGTGCACACCGAAGATTGTTGGCATACCCATAATCGCTCAAGACCTAGATGATCCGTGCAACGGTGAGGTCCAAGTGAAGCTACACCAAACGTCGAAGAAAGACTTTCGGTGGAGAGACATAGCAAGGAAAAANGGATGTAAA